TTGATGTTCTCTTTTCCTGCAATATTTTTAATGAACAACGCAGCAGCACCGCATCCAGTGGGTTCACATAGGCTAACAAAAACATTAAAATGCAACGACACTTACATCGCCATCGCATCTTTTAGTTATTATGCCGCCCGCAGTTGGAACCAGCTTCCAGAAGAGATCAGATGTGCTAAAACATTAGTCACATTTAAATGCAAACTCAAAACTCATCTGTTTAGCTGTGCATTTACTGAATGAGCACTGTGCAATGTCCGAACTGATTGCACTATATTTTATGTATAATCATTTTCTATTCTTAACTGTTTTTAAATTCATTTTAAACCTCTTAAATAATTTTTTTTGTGATCATTTTTTTTACATGATTTTTAAATTTATTTTATGTAAAGCACTTTGAATTACCATTGTGTATGAAATATGCTATATAAATAAACTTGCCTTGCCTTGCATCTGGTGCGCCACTGATAAGGCTGCCTCCTTAATGCACACCTAAAATTAGAATGCAACGTTTTTGCATTCGAATGTGGATTTTTATTTTAAATTCGACGAATATTCAATTAGAATTTAACGAATAAACAGTTGATGGTAGCCATTGACTTCCATAGTATTTTTTTCCATAATATGGAAGTCAATGGCTACAGTCAACGGGATGGTAAGTAAATAAATGATGACATTTTTGGTTGAACTATCCCTTTAAGTCAACATGAAATCAAAATTGATTTTATTTATTTATAATGCCAAATTTACAACGCAAAGGTGACATAGATGCGCTTCTGAAGTGGCATTTACACAAACTCATTAATGCTGTGCAGAGGTGGCATAAATGTATTTCCACAGCAGTTACAACTGTATTATTTGATGCAATGGGCTGAGGTGGATCCGAACAGGCATAACTTAGTCTGGCTTTTATGCAGTATTACGTCTTCTCACATAATTTTGAGCAGGCACAGAGTAGCCTTAACTCTGCTGTGTAAAGATGCCTTTGTATATGATTTATCTGTACACATTATTCCACATTTGAAAAAAAATGGTACCATAAAATGTTCTTTAAACAAACTATTTTGAAACTTTCTTTTTAAATACCTGATAGAGTGTCTTTGGAAGATCTGTACAATGGAAAAACAACCAAACTACAGCTAAGCAAGAACGTACTCTGCAGTGCCTGCAGTGGGTGAGTGTGTGTGAGCAGGATTTTAGAGGGTTATATAACAATTGAGTACAGCTCCTTAAAGATTTTAAGCAAAATATCCTTTTATATATATATATATA